GAGGGCAGGGGGAGGAAGGAGGCAGCAGCAGCGCGGGGTGGGAGTGGGGACGGGGCGATGCCAGCGCTTGGTCCTCCCGGCGGCAGCCCCGGGGCCGGGACCTGCGGGGACAGAGGGTGACAGAGCTTGGCGAGGCTGGGGGGGTCCCCATCTGCACGGTGCTGAGCCGGTCCTAGACACTAAATCAGCAGCACCCCGAAGGCTTTGCAAGACCGGCTGGAGGCAGCACCCCAGTGCCTGCTGGCTCGGGTACCGCAGCTGCGCTCTTAACCCTGCCCCGGTGCGGCCCTGCCAGCGATAAATACAGGAGTGGTTGCCTCCGGCCCCCACTTCTCACACACTAATGTTTAAAAAAAACCCCAATCCTTATGCAAAGCCTTCAAGTTCCATTAACAGGGATTCACATTTTTTTGCCTGCATCTTATTTTATATTAATCTTTTCAAGCCTTATAGAAGCCAATCCATACAAGCTTAGCAAAACTCCACATTAGAGAATGGCTACAAAACTGCAAAGCGAGGCTCATTTCTGCTTAATTATGGATAAAAGGGGAGAGAATGATTGCTTATTAGCAAGTCAGGTAGAAAATGTACCATATTTAGGGTGCAAACAGGCCAGTTACGGAGAGGAAGGTGTGTCATCTTTCATTACAGGTACTTTAAAGTGTGCATCTGGAGAAAATTAATGATTTTTTTTCCCCCCTTCCCACAAAGAGAAGCTGAAGCACTCACAGGGGGGCTGCATGGTCCTGTTCCCACCCCATGTGTGATGCCTGTCAGCTACACATCTCTCGGGTTCCTTGGGTCCTTATCTCAGACCCAAGCAAAAGGATGGGGCACCCCAGCTCTGCAAACTGCTCCCTTGGCTCGGCAAAAATGCCCCCCCCCCACACCCCAGGAAGCCCCAGCTGGGACAGAGCCTCTTGCCCCAGAGGATTTAAATGGTGTCGGCATCCTCGGGGGACTCCCAGTGGGCTGAAATAACTTGCTCACGGGGCTCAGAGGGAGCCCTGTTCCCTCCCCACCTCCAGCACCCCTGGGCACAGGTTCCAGGGCAGTGGCAGCCACCCCC